AAGAATCACGCAGAAAACATGAATACGTGAAACGTGAAACGTGAACACGTAAAAAGAACCCCCCCAAAATAAAACAATTACCGCATACATTTGACTAGCTGTATATGACCATAGGAGGGATACCCGTTTGTTCACCTCGATATCCTGCCACAACCCGTTAGTTTGAGAGGCGAGTGGAGCGAAGTTTGTCCAGCTCAACGATTAACCCACGGTAACCAACGACTAACCTCTTAACCACCTTCCAAGCAGGCCCCCTCCAACCTAATGTGGTCCGCGCCCGGACCTAGGCGAAAGAGTCCCCATGGAGAGGCGGTCGTGGGGTCGGTCGTGGCAACGGGGCCAACTCCGTCAGACTGCCTTCCAGCATCCGTTGGTGTAACACCTCAAGACGCTGTATGACGTCTGGTTGATTGTATTCGTCGTCTGGATCGTATGCTTGCAGGTGGTTATAATAGTTCATGATCAATTCGCCCTGTGTGTCCGAAAATGGGTTAAACCCCTCAGGCATGTACTCCTCATAATCGTCATGCCTGGCCACCATCCACCAAGTGTCATTAACGTCGACCCCCGGTGGCGGAAGTGGAATTGCCCCCCCTAAATAATTTTTAACCGCTGTCAAACTGGGCGGTTGTGGCAGTTTCCTGAAGTCCGACACCCGCGTCAGATAGATGGCTGGCCCAACCACGCCGTGGTAGATGAACCAGCCTACCAAATGCACGTATTGTGCCAGGGTGAGGCGGCTGATTGCCTCCGCGCACCTACCGAACAACGCGATGTACCCCTCCGGGCTGCGATTCTCCTGTAACATGACAAGCTCCAGTAGAGGGACGTCTGCGGGGTAGTCGACGTCCTCTCTGCTTTTCTTGTCGTCATGTTCCTGGGCGGCGCGGTCCCTCTCCTCCTCCGTCCTGCCGTACTGTAGCCAGGAATCCTCCTGGAGATGGAGGTACTGGGGCGGGACCTCCCAGTGGTCCTCCCAGTAGTGCCAATCCGGGCCCAGTGGCGGCGGCGTGGTTGGCTCCTCCTCCTCCCAGCCGTTGTCGGTGTCGTGCCATTGTGGTGGCTCGATGTACCCCAGAATTCCTTGCAACAGGTCTGCGACGGTGTCTTGCTGTGGTGGCGCAACCCCGGTGGCCTGGATGCCGTATATCTGGTCAGCCGTATAGAGAACTGCCCTCGGTGCCATTGTCGTATTGTTGTTTGGTGCTGAAGTGCTTCTGCCGGCCCTGGAATACTTCGAAGGTTTAATCAAGGGAATTCCCCCATTGACATGTTCCTTGGTTAATTCATCCATCCGACCATGGCTGATATGCTATTGGGTTAGTTCCGGTTAGGTCTGATGGTGGGTGGTGGGTGGTGGATGGTGGTGGAGCTGGATTGGTGGTGGTGGATAAATACAAGTGCTTAATTTTGTCCGTGGCGTAGTGGGTGAGTGGGGTGAAATTGACGGAAAATTGTTGGATTGGTGGATCTGGTGCTGTCGTGCTGCATGTCTCTAGTCGGTCGGCGTTGTGGGTCCAGCAGGAAGGTGTGGTTCGTTGCAGGCGATGTAGAGTTCGCACTTCAGTTAGGCGTTCTCGGCTAGTGTTGTGCTGAGTTCCCCCAGCATCTGGACAATGCAAGAGTGCGACTTCTGCAGTTGCGTGTGAAGCTGCTGCTTCTCCCGGAGTACCTGGTCGAAGTCTACCCGGGCGTATTCCAGGCACTCCTGCAGTGAGTGTGCGCGCCCGGCTAGGTCGGCCAGCTTGGTGGTGGCGGCGTCTCTCTCGCGGTCAGCCTTCCTCCCGGCCTCTGCGCATGCCGCGTTGGCACGCGCAAGCGCCTTCTCCGACGTGGTA